AGAAATACCAGCACGTTTACTGTAATGGGCAAGATCCAGTAAAGAGCAAAAAGTGATGACAGAGGAGACAGAGAGGAGGCGGAGTGAGGGCCTGGGCTGGGCGAGAAGAAGTGGGGTCCAGTACACGTGTGGATGGTTGAATCTTGACAGCAACTCGCCGTGTTTTACCTCCATTGAGGATGAAGTTGTGCGGGCAGAGGTTCCAAGTCATTGTGGGTGTCTTGGAAGGAAAGCAACATTCTAGCCTGGGTCCTGGGACATCTCTCCCTCCCGAACCACAGCCGCAGACACGCTGGAGCAGGGCTGGAAAGCTCCCATCCTTCCCCCTGACCGGCTTTCCCACGGTTCTGCCTGCCCCACCTGTCTGCTCAAGGGACGAAAGGGCCTTCGGGCCCAGGAGAGGGCCCAGGGCCCTGCCACACGCACAAACACGAGGACAATCCCAGATGGAGAGGGAAGGCCCCACCCCTTTCCAGGAAGCCCCTGCCTGAGGCCTGAGCAGAGTTTCAGACAGAGGGGGCGGCCTGGGAGCCAGAGCAGACTGGGCCAAGGCCTGGGCTGGAACACTATACATGGCAGACTTAGGGTCCGTCCCGCCAGACCAGGTGTAGGCCCTGAGGGGAGAGGGGGTTGCCTGGGCAGCTGCCAAGCCCTGAGACAACACAGCCTCGCCCTGAGGCAGGGGAATGGCCTAGATGGCCTCCCACACATTCCCCTGCTCGGGGAGCAGAACTTTGCGCTGGGAGAGCAAGGCCCTGACGTCCTCAGAGCCTCCTTCTGGAATGGAGACTCTTCCAGCCCATTCCAGAAAAAGCAAAGGCCAGCGGTTGGGGGCACTGCCAGATATTAGGAGTGAGGAGGCAGTATCTGTCGGGGTCAGAATGATTGGAGCTAGGCAAGAAAATCGCCTGGTCATCAGAATAGACTAATCGAACCTCACACAGACACCACCACGCGCCACCACCTCACACACAACCACACACGCACACAACCTCACAAAACCCTCCCAGCCACCTCTGCAATCACACACACTCACAACACACACACACATACACTCCCCGCACTGCCCCCGCAACACACAACTACCCAGCCTCACATACAAACAGACAGTTCTCACACACAACCTTAGGGGCACCCAACGTTTACTTTACAAATAGTGACCAGGCATCTGCTCCATTCCATGACCTGAAGATACAGCAGGAGCACCACGGGCGAGCTCTCTGCTCTCCTGGAGATAATTTCAGAGAATGTTCCAAAGAGTAACCGCTGAGGAAGGGGTTGAGGAAACTTCAGATGGGGTGAGCAGAGAGCTTCTCTGTAAGAAGGTGAGACCTGAATAAGGAGGAGGGACCTGCCAGGTGAAGAGCAGTCCACGCGGAGGGAACAGCAAATACAAAGGCCAGGAGGCTGGACAGATCGTGGCTTGTTTGTGGAGCAGAATGAAGGCCAGTGTGACTGGACAGTGTGATCAAGGGGACATGTGATAGGAGCTAAGGCAGGACTAGGTCATTTGGGGCTTTGTAGGCCAATGTCAGGAGAGTGGGTGTTGATATAAAGGTAATGACAAGTCACGCAGGGTTTTAATAGGGAGTGACATGATCTGATTTACATCATTAAGGCACTACTTCAGCTAGAAAAAACCATGGGAGACAAATTTTTTTCAATTCTCAAAGTAGGGAAGTCGTTTCTAATTATGACCAAACCAAGACACCATAAAAGATAAGATTGATACACTTGACTACCTAAAAAATGTTTAATTCTACATGGCAAAAAACCCATGTACAAAGTCAAAATACAAATGTCATTTGGCGTGTGGGGGAATCTTTTCTATTTGTATCATAGAGGGCTTATTTCTTTAATACGTAAAGAGCTCCTAAGAAATTAATAATAGCTCATCATGGCTGATCATCAGGGAAATGCAAATCAAAGCTACACTAAGATATCACCTTACACCCGTTAGAATGACAAAAATATCTAAAACTAATAGCAACAAATGTTGGAGAGGTTGTGGAGAAAAAGGAACCCTCATACACTGCTGGTGGGAATGCAAACTGGTGCAGCCACTATGGAAAACTGTATGGAGATTCCTCAAAAGACTAAAAATAGAACTACCATACGATCCAGCCATCCCACTACTGGGTATTTATCCAAAGAGCCTGAAGTCAGCAATCCCAAAAGTCCTGTGCACCCCAATGTTTATTGCAGCACTGTTTACAATAGCCAAGACGTGGAAGCAACCTAAGTGTCCAGCAACAGACGAATGGATAAAGAAGATGTGGTACATATATACAATGGAATACTACTCAGCTGCAAAACAGAACAAAATCATTCCATTTGCAATAACATGGATGGACCTTGAGAGAATTATGTTAAGTGAAATAAGCCAGCGAGAGAAGGATAATCTGTGTATGACTCCACTCATGTGAGGAATTTAAAATTATGGACCAAGAACAGTTTAGTGGATACCACGGGAAAGGTGGGGTGGGGGATGGGCACAAAGAGTGAAGTGGTGCACCTACAACATGACTGACAAACATTAACGTACAACTGAAATTTCACAAGATTGTAACCTATCAATAACTCAATAACTCAATAAATAAATAAATAATAAAAAAAGGCAACCATCCAATAGAAAAATGAGCAAAAACAAAGGACAGTCCACAGAAAAAGAAATACAAGTGGCCCTTACATATACGAAAAGATGCTCAATCTCACTCATAATAAGAGAAATGCAAAATAAAAGTTTAATGAGATACCACTGGCAAAGATCATACAGTTTGATAACTCTCTATATTGGTGAGTATATGGGGAAACAAGCATTCTCATGTCTCATGGTAGTGTAAACTAACACATCTATGGAGGGAATTTGGCAACATCTATCAAAATTTTAAATGAGTATACAATCTTAACCCAAAAATTCCACCTCTAAGACTATATCCTGGGCCTGGCCCCATGGCCATGTGGTTAAGTTCATGCACTCCACTTTGGTGGCCCAAGGTTCCCCGGTTTGGATCCTGGGCAAAGACCTAGCACCACTCGTCTAGCCATGCTGCGGTGGCGTCCCACATAACAGAACTAGAAGGACTTACAACTAAAATACACCGCTATGTACTGGGCGCTTTGAGGAGAAGAAGAAAAAGAAGGAAAAAAAGGAAGATTGGCAACAGATGTTAGCTCAGAGCCAATCTTTAAAAAAAGAAAAAAGAATATATCCTATAGACATAACATAAAATGTGTCCAAGGATATTCATTGCAATGATGCTTTTAATAGGGAAAAAAAATACAAGATTGGAAACAGCCTTAATTCTTATCAATATGGAACTGACTAAATATATTATAGTATGTATACTATTCAGCTGGGGTTGTTTGTTTTTTAAAGCAAACTCTACATCTACTACTTGGGGAAAATGGAATACATACATCTGGCTTTAAAAACATGAGATGGCTCTATATCTACTGATAGAGGAAAATGTCCTATGTTTTGTTAAATGAAAAGAGCAAAGCGCAGAACCGTGTGCATAGCACACTCCATAGGGTACACGCAGAAAGAAGAATATCTACATGGTCGAAGAAGCAGTTGATCTCAGGAAGGAACAGCAAGTCACTGAAACCTGGTGGTGTTCAGCGAGAAGTCAGGATCGGCACCAGATATGCGGACACATCCGTGAACAGATGGTCTTGGAAGGCCCAGGACAGGATGACCTCACCCAGGAGGGAAGAGGCTGAGCCCTGGGACACGCCCACACCAGAGATGATGACGTGCGGCGTCCCAGGTACAAAGAACCTAGGAGTGCGGTGTCAAGGAAGCCAAAGGAAGAAAGTGTTTTGAGAAAGACGGAGTGGTCAGCTGTGTCAGGTGCTTCTGAAGGGGCAGGAGGATGGGGACAGACTGTTGGATTGAGCGTCAGGAAGACCGGTAGTGACCTTGACAGGGCCATCTTTAGTGATATGGGAGGAACAGAAACATTGTTCAAATGGGTGGAAGAGTGACTAGGAGGTGAGGAAGCAAGGAGCGGGTGTTGCTCTGAAATGCAGCAGAGCGGCAGGTGGTAGGGAGCAGGTGGCAGACTCGTGGACCCCCCCCCCATACACAAGACACTGTCATACTCACACGTCAACACATGCACAGAAGCACCCGGACAACCCCAGTGCTGTTGAGTCTCAGCAACGATTTTCAAGGGCCATGACCCAGCGAGTATAAGACGGCATCTGCCCTCTGGCTTTGCCCCATCCAGAAAGTCAACATGGCTGAGGCCTCCAGAGCTGGCCCTGCTACTTATTATCTGTGTGACCCTGGGCAAGTCACGTAACGTCTCTGTGCCTCAGTTTCCTCATTCATAAAAGCAGGAAGGGTCATACCTTCCTCATCTGGGCTGTGAGATGAAATAAAGCCCGTGGAACAGTCTCTGGCACAAAGACGTCCCCAAGCTCCCAAAGCAGTGTCAGCTCTCTACCACGAATAGCAGGTAGGGTGACAGGGTGACTTGATCTTCCCAAGCTTGGGGCCACTTTTGAGAGTAAAAGGGGGTGCTGTTCATTATATCAGGGCCCCAGGGGTAAACTGGCACAGTCCTGGGAAAATGCAACGTATAGTCACCCTTGCGTGAGCACATCGTCTCCGTCCAGACAGCCCGGGCTCAGGCCCTGTGGTGACTAAGATCCTGGCACTCCCAGGGAGATGGGAAACCCTGGGGTTTCCCGACAAGGCTGGAGCACCAGGGGCTCTCATGAGGTTCCTAGTCATGGCGCACTCGTCCTTGTCCCCACAACCGGGCCAGCCGCAGGCCCACCTCCCCTCGCAGGGGTTCTAGGGGTTCCCCCCCCCACCTCCCCCACCCTCGCAACACCCTCCCTCAAATCCCTCCCCCGGGATCTGCACCTTGTAGTAACACGAGGCCACGACCTCCCCGCATCCTGCCCCGACCCGCGGACAAAGGATCCCCTCCATCTCCTTTCTAATGACAAGTTTCAACGTGCCCCTTCCCTCTGTGGACACAAGATTCTCCAAAGGGCACACGCCTCCTTGGAGGACGCATGCAGTGCCCGAGCCCATGCTGGAGCCGATGGCACCGCCATCGACGGCCCTTCGTGCGGAAGGGCAGACCCCCCGGAGCGCCCCTCTGCGGGATCCAGGCCGGGCTGCAGGCGGGGACCGGACGGGCAGGGCGCGGACACGGGCTCCGTGGTAACGAGTGTAGGCAGTTTCATGATTGCAGTCCGGCCCTCGGCGACGGCACTTAACAGTTTAGAGCCCTTCACGCCCCTAATCTCATTGGAGACTTTGCCACAGCCCTGCCCATGGCCACCGATGCCCTCATTTCACACCTGAAGACACGGAGGCTGAGACGAGCGACGAGCCCCTCCACCAGCGGCCCCGGGAACCCGTGGCTGCGTGGGGCCTAGAAGCCGACCCTCGGCCGCCGGCGGGGTCTCGAGCTCCTCCCCCGACCCTCCTCCTCACCGCCCCCGGGGAGCGCCTCGCCGCCACCGCGGAGCTCCGCTCCCGCCTCGCTCGCCACCGCCGCGGGCCTCAGGGACGCGGGGTCCCGGCCCCGCGCTGGCCGCGCCGCTGCAGGTAAGCACCGGGCGGGGACGGGGAGAGGGGCAGGGACAAGGGCGAGGGCGGGGTGGGCTCCCCGGACGCTGAGCGCTCCCGGGCGACCCACGGCGGCGGGGCCGGTGCTTGATCCCGCCTGCCCCTCCAGGCTGAGGATGGGTGGCGCGGGGAAGGGAGAGGGTGGAGGGACCTCCGCCACCAACCCCACCACTGCCTCTCGCCCCTCGATTCTGGGCAGGGTGGGAGCTCCAACTACTGGAAGCTTCCCGGACCCCTACACCCCTCCCCACGTCTGCAAGCTCCGGAGCTGCCTGGAATGCAGGGAAACTAAGTGGCGGCGGGGGGACACGGAAAGGAGGAAGAGGACTTCTGTCCTGCGGGGCCAGGAGGTGCATTTGGAAGTGGGAGTGAAAGCTGGGCGCGGCGTGGTCCCGGGGCTGGGAAAAAGCGGATGGCTGGGAGCTGGTGCTGGGAGACTCCAGGGGGACCCAGAACCGGCTCCACCAGTCCCGGGCTGGTCTTGCAGGGAATTCTTTGCCGGTGAGTCGCGTCCCAGGGGTGTGTCACACAGGCCTGAGCCGACAGGACTGCAAGGTGGAAGGCGGGGGCCCAAGAGGGGGCTGCACCCAGGTGGGCTGCCGTGGGACGTGGAAGCACACTTTAGGGTCCCTCCCCTCCTCCTCGGGGCTAGTGGGCAGGGCTCCAATCTCCCCTCCAGTGTTCTTGAACCCTCACCAGGTGAGTGGCCGGCTGGGGAGGGAATGGCCTCTTAAGATTCTTACAACAGCTCAAGAAAGTAGGAATTATTTCCCTTTATAAATAAAGAAAAGAAGTCAAGGAGAGGAGGGGACTTTTGGTATTCACCCAGCTACTAAGTGCATAGCCGCGGTGTGAATCCAGATGCCACTGCACGCTCACTGCACATTCACTACGGCTCCCCAAGGCCAGGTCTTAGGAGGAGCCGAGTCGGGGAGAAGAGGAGGGTCTCCAGGGACGGGGTCTTCCTCTGTCACCCCAGCCTGTCCTAGATTCCTAGAGAAGAGGCATCAGGAGGGCTGAGATGCTGAAAAGGAACGACACCTTCTCCCTCTCTCCAGAGCTGCTGAGTCTTTCCCCCAAGCAGGCTGGTCCAGACGGCCCCCTGGGGCTCCTGGGGGCACCTCAGAGCCCCTCCCTCCAAGCTGCCTCTTGGATTCCGCATTCATTTATTTGTTCGTTCAACATTTATTGAGTACCTCCTATGTGCCAAGCACTAGACACTGACTATAAAGCAGTAAGCACGACAGAGTTGACATTCTAGTGACGATAAATAAGAACAAAAAAATAAACGGATACTTTAATTTCAAATGGTGATTAAATGCTATAAAGGAAATAAAGGGGACAGAAGCAGAGTGACTGAGAGGGCAGGGGCTCCCAGATTCCGGTTTATCTGGGGAGACCTGAGAGATATTTGAGCAGAAGCCTGAATGGTGAGAAGGATCCAGACATGGGAGGTTCTGGAGGAAGAGCATTCCAGGCAACAGGAATACTTACAAAGCACCGGAGGCCCCCAGGGTGGCTGGAGCAGAGAGCAGTAGGGTGAGAGTGTAAGAGAGGAGGGTGAGAAGGAAGAATCTAGTTTAAGCTGGTTTAATTTCATTCATCTGGTTTAAGTCTAAGCATAATGAGAAGTGAGTAGAGTTTTAAACAAGGGAGTGACATGATCCGATGTAATGGACTCTCGAGGTGCAGGACCTGGCGGGGAAAGGCCACTGAGGAGGCCGTGGCAATAGTACAGGCAGCAGCGACGGGGGCTTGGACCAGGGTGGTGGCAGTGGAGGGGTGAGAAGCGGTGGTGCAGGGGGTGGCCCCGCAGGCTCCTGCATGCTCCGAGTCACAACCCCAGCTCCAGGAGCACCCACATGTGCCCGCAGGCCCACACATGCACGTGGAGAGGTGCAGGCTCCCACACCCAGGGCAGTGTGCCGGCACTAGGTACACTCAGGCAGACCCACCCGTCCACACCCTCTGAGTCACTCCGAGACGGTCAGGAAGATGCGGGAGTCCAGAGCCTAAGCAAAGCCTGTCTCCCCACCAAAAAGCCCTGGCACCCAGCATGGCTGGGGTGGCTGGGGCTCCCCCCAGGCCCTGGCACAGGGAGGGGGGAGTTGTCCCTAGATTTTCCCTGGATCTGGTGTCCCCAGGAGCCAGACCATTACCCTGCCAGACACCCCCAATCTGAATTGGTCTCCCGGCTTCACCACCCGCTGGCCGTGAGACCTGGGGGAGGTCATTTCTTCTCTCCTGGCCTCATTTTCCTCTCTATAGAATGGGGCTCATGGGCCCAACCTCACAGGATCAACGAGGCATCAACGCAAGAACCTGCTGGGGCAGGCATCCAGCAGAGAAGGGGAGAGGAGGTAGAAGAGAGCACAGGCCTGGACCTGACAGCCTGGCCTCAAATGCAACTCTAGTTTTAGATGAGTGCCTTGACCTCTAAATTTCCCAGAGAGTGGCAACCATTTATTGAGCACTTAGTGTGTACTCCATGGCAACCATTATCTCATTTGATTATCAGTTTCTGCATCTGTAAATGGGGAACATAATAGTGTCTACCTCCTGGGCCTGTTATAAGGATTAAATGAGATCCTGCACATAAAGTCTTCAGCTCCGTGCCTGGCTCATAGGAAATGCTCAATAAACGCTCATTGTTATTATCAGCAAATGCACAGTCCCTTCCCTCCAGCATACTAGCTCTGTGACTTTGGGCAGGTTACTTAACCTCTCTGTGCTTCAGTTTCCTATCGGTAGCTTAGGAAGAAGAATAGTTCTGAGCTGGTAAAACTGTTGTGATGATCAAACAAATCCATCCACATAAAGAACTCAGAACAATGCCTGGTACATAGTAAATCCTCAGTAAATGTCACCGATTCAATAACCTGGTTTTTCCTATTGTTGTGTCAGGTGGGCACGGCGCCCGGCCCCCCCCACCAGGCACCATGGACTGGAAGACATTTCAGGCCCTACTGAGTGGTGTGAACAAGTACTCCACGGCATTCGGGCGCATCTGGCTGTCGGTGGTGTTCGTCTTCCGTGTGCTAGTGTACGTGGTGGCCGCGGAGCGCGTGTGGCGGGACGAGCAGAAGGACTTTGACTGCAACACCAAGCAGCCGGGCTGCACCAACGTCTGCTACGACCACTTCTTCCCCATCTCCAACATCCGCCTCTGGGCCCTGCAGCTCATCTTCGTCACATGTCCCTCACTGCTGGTCATCCTGCATGTGGCCTACCGCGAGGAGCGCGAGAGGAAGCACCGCCTGAAACACGGTGACCAGTGCGCCAAGCTGTACGACAATACAGGCAAGAAGCACGGCGGCCTGTGGTGGACCTACCTGTTCAGCCTGATCTTCAAGCTCATCATCGAATTCCTCTTCCTCTACCTGCTGCACACTCTCTGGTACGGCTTCGGCATGCCACGCCTGGTGCAGTGCACCAACGTGGCCCCCTGCCCCAACACTGTGGACTGCTACATCGCCCGGCCCACTGAGAAGAAGGTCCTCACCTACTTCATGGTGGGCGCCTCTGCCGTCTGCATCGTGCTCACCATCTGCGAGATTTGCTACCTCATCTTCCACAGGATCCTGCGAGGCAGGAGCAAGAACAGGCCCCCAGGGGGCCACAGCCCTGCGTCCTCCACCAGCCAGGCCTCCACCTGCCACCGCCACCACAAGCTGCTGGTGGAGGCTGGGGAGCTGGAACTGGACCCCGGCAGTGACAAGCCGTGTGCTTCAGCACCCAGCATGACCCCCATCTGACCACGGGCTGGGGAGCAAGACTGGGCTGCCAGTGGAGACAGGCGGGGCGGTATCATGCTGGTGGAGGGTCCTAGAGGTACTGGGCGCCACCACTTTAAATTCACTAAACTATCCAGTTTCATTTTGGCAGATATTTTTTGAGCGCTGGGCACTGTGCTGTCTACCTGGGTATAGGGCACACCACAGGCCCAGCGCCAGCCAGCGGGTGAGACAGACATTGAAACAAACAAATTAACTTCCGCATGCAGGGGGACCCTTAGGGGGCTCATAGCAGGGCTTCGCCCGAACCCGGGAGGGGGTGACAGGCAAGGCTTCCCTTAGGAAATAATGTTCAACTGAGGTGAGAAGTGCTTCCTAGCAGAAAAAAAACATCAGGTGTGGAAGCCTAGAGGCCACAAAAAGAGAGATGCTTGCCCTGGGCTGGGGGCACCAGACCCAAGGAAATCTTCGTTCCCTCAGGAGTCCTCGGGTGGGGAGGAAGTACTCTCCCAGCAGTGGGAGGGAGGTCTGGAGCCTGAGAGCGAGCTTGGGAAGAGGAGAAGGAGGCTCTGGTGACACCAGCCCCTGCTCAGGACACCCAGGGATCTTGTGGGTCACCACTGCCCTCAGGGGAAGGCCCCCCCACCCCCAAGCCCTACTCCCCCAGCCTCAGGCAGCGTTGCTTCCATTTTCTTCCCCCAAATGTGCTGGGGTGCCAGCTCCCAGGGACTCGGGGTGGATGTGCTGATAGGGTCTGTGAGAGCAGCTCAGAAGGGAAGGATGGGGGACCGCGGGAGATGGTTCCAGCAGTCCCCTTGGCCGAAGGATGGAGAGACGGGGGTCCAGGGTAGGGGACTGTGTTGTTACAGGTTGACCGTCCTCTGTCCTCCCACACTGCCACCCGCAAGACCCTGAGGGCAGGGAGGGTAGCCCTCGGGAGGTGAAAGAGCTCCACAGCTGAGGGTGAAGCGAGGGTGGGGGCTGTGACTTAGGCTGGACCTGAATTAGGTGGGGGCTGGGGTTGACCAAGGTGGGAGCTGGGGCGGGCTTGGAAGTGGAGGCAGGAGGTGGACCCTACAGATAGGTTGAGATTCTAGATCTGGAGTCTAGATAAGGTTGTGATTCTAGATGAGGTCACAAGAGGGCGCTGTGTTCCCGCTACAACAGCGCTCCCAGCTGTTTACGGGGAGACCCTGCCCTGTGCGCACACACACACTATCCTCACATTGTAGACAAACCACACTCCCTCCTCCTTTGTAACCTAGTCATCTACAACCTGCGTCCCCACCCTGTGTACACAAAACCCATTATTCATACTCTCATTCCTCGTGTGCTCGTCACAGGCCAGCGTCTCGTGTAAAGGCACACAGTCCCAGCCTCGCCCGAGCCTTATTCAGCTCCTTCCACTTTCCCTGAGCCTCTTCTCCACACCAGGCCCCTGGCAGGAGGCTGGGACCACGTAGGGGAGCAGGAGCTGAGCCCGAAGCGCTCAGAGCCTGGGGGGACAGAATCACTAACTTCTGTTGGTTAGAAGACTAACCAACCCCTGGCTCACAGCCCCACTCCCGGCACCGTGCGGTGACCTGAAATTTCGGGGACACAAACATCCAAGCCAGACTGGAATGAAAAACAAAAGGAGGTGCAAGGCTCTCCTGACCCAGAGGAACATTTAATGACTGTCCAAGCTAAGGCCAGGAGCCAGAATGCAGGAGGCAGAGAGCCAAGAGCCAGTGCAGGCAGGGAGAGGTCGGGTCACCGTGGAGTCAGAACAGGTTGTGACTTTGCTCAAACTCACCTTTGCTCTCTCGTGCGGCCATTAGCAGGGTGAATAAGCCAGCCAAGTTTAAAGGGCCCAGGGCTGGGCTGACACCACCCCCCAGGTCTGAATCACAGCTTGACCACTTCATGACACCACCCCCCAGGTCTGAATCACAGCTTGACCACTTCATGACACCACCCCCCAGGTCTGAATCACAGCTTAACCACTTCATGACAGCTCCACCACACTGCACCGTGGGCAAGCTTTCAGAACCTCAGCCCTGTCATCAGTACAACGGGAACTATATCAACCAGGATCCTGGCAGGAAACAGATGGCACACTCGAACCGAGTAACTTTAAAGAGTTTCCTCAAGGAACTGTTTGAAAAGATACGGGCATGACTAAGGACACCCACAAAGGGCGCTGCAGTCCCCAGGGGCTGGTACCAGGGCAGCAGTGGACAGGGTTGCCACACAGCAGCTGCAAGGATGCATCCGACCACAGTGACCAAAGGAACACCCCAACTTCACTCTCCCTCTCCTGCTTGCCTGCCAGTGGTCCCAGTGACCTAACCCCACCAGAAGCCAGAGGCCGAGGCAGCCTGTTGAGGCAGTCGGTAGGGGGCAGCCTCCCAGGGCACAGAGCACTGTGGAGAGGAAATCTGAGGGACAAAGGGAACAAATTCACCCAACACTCAGGACAGTGCCTCCTCCCAGGATGGTTACAGAGATCAAAGGAGATGCTGTGGGTAACACATTAGTACAGTGCTAATGTGTCCCACAATATCCAGGCACAGCCGTGCCTAGGAAAGCCCCTGCCTGCTGCCCAGGCACATTGCACCCCAGCCCAGCTTGGACCAGATGGTTGTGAAGGTCCCAGGGAGGGGTGGTCTCCATCTACTTTGCTACCACGCGTGCCTGCATCTTCCAGGGTGGTTCCGCTGCCTGGTCCAGGGTGGCTTAGAGGTCAGGGCGAGCAGAGCATGTCGTCAGCTATCCCAGCACGGACTGGGTGTCTAATCCTGGCCCCAATTCTCCAGGCTGGGGGTCAGGACCATGAATGAGGGAATGTTCCAGCCCTTTGTGTCCCACCTTTGGCCCAGAGCTGTTCTGAGCAGTGCAGCTCACCGTTCTCACCCTGTATGTGTTAGGCCACTGTTCACCACCCAGAGTCCCTAGTGCACATCACTGTCACCACAAGGTGGCTCTCATGTCCCTTAACCCTCTCTTCTCAGAGCACAGGCTCTGCCTCCTCCCCCATCGCGCAAGGATTCACTGTAAGCTTCCTTCAATCACGCATAGGATAGATTTAGATGTCAAATCCACAGCCTTCAAGTCCACATCTCCTGTGTGATGTAACAGCCACCCTGCAGCCCAAGGTCAACAGCAGATTTTGTACTCGTCACCCTGGTCCAAGCCCCCTCTTATAGATTGAATGTTTGTGTCCCCCCAGATTCCTATGTGGAAATCCTAACCCCTGATGTGATGGTATTAGGAGGTGGGGCCTTTGGGGGTGATTAGGTCATGAGGGTGGAGCCCTCATGAATGGGATTAGCGCCCTTATAAGAAGAAACGTGAGGGACGATCTTTCTCTCCCCACCTTGTGAGGACACAATGAGAAAACAGCCCTGTGTAAACCAGGAAGAGGGCCCCCACTCAGAGCCTGACCAGGCTGGCACCCTGATCTTGGACTTCCAGCCTCCAGAACTGTGAGAAATCAATGTCTACCGTGTGCGCCACCCCATCTGTAGTATTCTGTTATAGCAGCCCGAGCTGACTAATACACCCCCATCACCTGTCACCTGGATTGCTGCGTCTGTCTCCCTGCTGGCTGCCCCCACGCTGGGGAGCAGACGCCGAGGAAGAGCTGAGAGCGCACAGGGTGCACTGGGGAGTAACACAGGTGAATGGGAAGAAGAGGAAGGAGGGCTGAGTGACAAGACCATTGCAGGGAGCTCTGTGTCCCTTAGACAAAGACTGTCCATTAGAGGAGTCCCATTGGGTGGAAATGGCGGGGCCCTTGACCACCACTTGGCTCAGTCGTCACCTGGAGCCACCCCAGCAGAGCTTGGCCACCTGGACGGCTGCAGCAGACCTGACCGCTGGAGGCTGTAAGCTGACCAGACTCTGCACAGCTGAGCAGCAAGTCCTGCATGGCAGAGGGGCGTCTAGGTGTGCCACCCACCCCACAGTCTATTCCCAACACAGGAGCCAGGGTGACCATGTAAAACCTAAGTCAGGCCATGTCACATCTCTGCCCACAACTTCCAAATGCATCTCACACAGGCCTTCAGGGGCCTACAAGACCAGCCCCACCCCTTACCCCATCTGTTCCCTTCCCTCTCTGAACTCATCTCTTCTCCTTGCTCACTTCACTCCCGCCACACTGACCTCCTTGCTATTCCCCAAGCAGGAAACAGCAGGCACAGTTCCTCCCTCAGGGCCTTTGCACTGTCTCCCTCTGTCTGGAATGCTCTTTCCCCCAGAGAGCCACCAGGCTCCCTCCCTTCCTTCAGGACTTGTGGCAAATGTCAACTGCTTAGTGAGAAATGCTCTTCTCTTCTAGTCAGAGTTGAGACTGCCAGCCCCTGCGCCCTCAGTTCTCCCTTCCTACTTCCCACATGGCATTTATCACCACCCAACAGGGTCCATCTTTTGTTCCATCTGTCTTCCTCCAGCTGGAATGTAAAATCCACGAGGACGGGGATTTCTGTTGTTCCTGCTTCAGCTCCAGCATCCAGGACAGCTCCACAGTGCCGGGGGTGCTCACTAAATAGTAAATTCATACACGGCCCTGGTGCCCTGCTGGGCGCTGGACATGGAAACCAGACCCACCTGCCTGCCCTCGAGAGGATCTCAGTCTAATGGGCGAGGGGAAAAGACAAGTAAATGACGCACCCGAGGTCAGGGAGGGGAAGTGGGAGTTGCTTAATTGCTATAGTGTCAGTTTTGCAAAATAAAAAAGTTCTGGAGATCTGATGCACAACAATGTGAATGTACTTAACACTACTCAATGCTACACTTAAAAATGGTTAAGATGGTAAATTTTATGTCATGTGTTTTTCCCCACCACAATTAAAAATAAAACTGAAAAGCAACACGCCCAGGGGCAGCCTGAGGGGCTGAGAGCACAAAGGCCCACCTAACCCAGTGGAGGCAGCAAGGGAACTTCCGGGAGAAGGCCACATGGAGCAAACTCCTGAACACCTCGAAGGGTGAGGGTGCTCCAGGCCGAGGGGACAGCATGACAAAGGCCGAGTGCACAGGGAACCACAGTTATTAAGTGTGGCTGGATCATGGAGTGAAGGGGGAGAGGGATGAGGCTGGAGAAGTGGCCGAGGCCAGGAGGCAATGGGGAGCCATGGAAGGGTTTAGGCAGAGTAG